AACTGTCCCTTATTACCTACGCATGTTGGTAATGAGAGACCTTTGGTGATGACGTCATAAATTATTTTTATCTTATTAATCAGTTACATCATGACCACAATTTTGTTTCCCAATAAAGAGAAGAAGTTACTAAAGAGAAAACAAAACTTTCTGTATGTGTAACATTTTTCATGTTTATGTAAATTATGGAAATGTGCTTAAGGGTCTCCAATTCCCCACACCTACCCTAGTACTAGAGATTAAAGAGGGCACTTATGAGAATGGAAAATGGACACTTATGGCAATGGAAAATGGGAACTTGTCGAAGGAAAAGGGGCACGTGTCGAAATAAAAGGGGCACTTATCAGAGTAAAAGGAGCACTATTCCTATGTAAAAAGGGGCACTTTTCGGGTGCTTGAAAAAGTGGGGGGAGGGGGCACTGTGCCCCTACTCCCCCCCAGGAGTGCGGCCTCTGCTGGGGAGTATTCCTACCATTATGGTCACCGTGAAGGCATAGGCATAACTAACACAAACTAACACGGTAAAGAGTTAATATTCCAGTTTATAGACTATATGTACATGGCGCTATATAGGGTGGTGAAAAGTTAGCGTAGGGTGGTGAAAAATTAAGAGTGCAGTTTATCCATAGACAATGTACATTGCGCTGTAGGGTGGTGAAAAGTTAGCGTAGGGTGGTAAAGAGTTAATATTCCAGTTTATCCATAGACAATGTACATAATTATGACGCTAGGGTGGTGAAAAGTTAGCGTAGGGTGGTGAAAAATTAATATTCCACTTTATCCATAGACAATGTACATTGCGCTGTAGGGTGGTGAAAAGTTAGCGTAGGGTGGTGAAGAGTTAATGTTCCACTTTATCCATAGACAATGTACATGACGCTAGGGTGGTGAAAAGTTAGCGTAGGGTGGTGAAAAATTAAGAGTGCAATTTATTCCATAGACAATGTACATGACGCTAGGGTGGTGAAAAGTTAGCTGGTGAAAAATTAATATTCCACTTTATCCATAGACAATGTACATGACGCTAGGGTGGTGAAAAGTTAGCGTAGGGTGGTGAAGAGTTAATATTCCACTTTATCCATAGACAATGTACATGACGCTAGGGTGGTGAAAAGTTAGCGTAGGGTGGTGAAGAGTTAATATTCCAGCTTATCCATAGACAATGTACATGGCGTTAGGGTGGTGAAAAGTTAGCGTAGGGTGGTGAAGAGTTAATATTCCAGTTTATCCATAGACAATGTACATGCCGCTAGGGTGGTGAAAAGTTAGCGTAGGGTGGTGAAGAGTTAATATTCCTGCTTATCCATAGACAATGACTTTGTACATAATTGAAGGGTGGTGAAAACTTAGCGTAAGGTGGTGAAGAGTTAATATTGCAGCTTATCCATAGATAATGCACATGGCGTTAGGGTGGTGAAAAGTTAGCGTAGGGTGGTGAAGAGTTAATATTCCAGTTTATCCATAGACAATGTACATGCCGCTAGGGTGGTGAAAAGTTAGCGTAGGGTGGTGAAGAGTTAATATTCCTGCTTATCCATAGACAATGTACATAACTGAAGGGTGGTGAAAACTTAGCGTAGGGTGGTGAAGAGTTAATATTGCAGCTTATCCATAGATAATGCACATGACGGTAGGGTGGTGAAAAATTAATATTCCAGCTTATCCATAGACAATGTACATGACGCTAGGGTGGTGAAAAGATAGCGTAGGGTGGTGAAGAGTTAATATTACCATTAATTTATCCATAGACAATGTACACGGCGCTAGGGTGGTGAAAAGTTAGCGTAGGGTGGTGAAGAATTAATATTCCAGTTTATCCATAGACACTGTACATGACGCTAGGTTGGTGAAAAGTTAGCGTAGGGTGGTGAAGAATAAATATTCCACTTTATCCATCGACAATGTACATGACGCTGATGTGGTAAAGAGTTGAGATTTAAAAAAATATATCCATAGAAATGACGGTGACATAATGGTGAATAGTTTCTGTGATTTGGTATTTAAAGAGTCAATGCCCCTTTTCCCAGAGAAGGCATATTTATTTATTTATTTATTTATTTATTTATTTATTTATGCATGCATGTTCACAATTTCATAATTCATTGAAGTTAACATCACATGAAAAATGAATATAAAATAATATAACAAATCATTTCAATTTTACAATCCATTTGAATTGACTTCACATGAAAAAGAATATAACAATGATTTATCATAGACACGTTGCAACTAATATACAGTTTGAAGAAAGAACACACAAAGGTACGTGATGAAACATAAGCAAATAGAGCTTGAATCGTGTACCACCTTTCAAATATATAACATATGACAAATAACATTCATGCATGACTTATAATTATGGTGCGGGGATATATTGCAATTCAAAAGAAGATAATAACTTTTTAATTGCTAACATACATGAGGTGAGGTCTTAGTATAATTCTTTGATTTGCCCCCTAAGTACTGCGCTTTACCCCCCCCCCCCCCCCCCCCCCCCCCCCCTCCATCATCTACTCTCATTATATCCGACCACCATGCCTATTTTAATTGGTAGCCAGCCATCGTTGCATTGATCATGCCTGATAATACACAAAGAATATATTGCGTGTGTGTAGTATAGCGGTTGTATGTGTACAATGCGATCCTTACACTTATCAAATTGGCAATTTTTACACATTGGATGGGCTACCTTCATCTCCGATTAGGTGTGTGAAGAAAAGCTTCATAGCCAACGGGTTGCTATGGAACGCGACTTGGAGATCTTGAATGCCTTTTGCAAAAATACAATCCCTCAATCCTTGCATATCGGACCTACGGAATTAGATTCAAATTATGTTTAATATGCCTGTGCTACATTAGGGATTGCTCAAACATGACTTAGGAATTATAAAATACATGTACACAGGCGCGTAGGCAGGGGGGGGGGGGTTGGGGGTTGAAACCCCCCCCCCCTTTGGTATTTTTTATGTGTGTATTTTGGAGGAAACCCCCCCCCCCCCCCCCCCCCTTTGGTACTTTTTTTTTTTTTTTTTTTTTAAATTAAAAAAAAAAAAAAAAGTTATAACAATGGCTGACCTGGAAAAGTTGACCTTACCCCCCCCCCCCCCCCCCCAAACGGAGCAAAATGTCAAATTTTCAAATTTCGAGACCAAAAAAAAAAAAAAAAAAAAAAAAAAAAGTGTCCTCTTGTGTCCCAAACTTCCGATTGGTTTATTTGCACATTCTCATAAGGGAAGACTGAAAAGAACGTTGATTGATCATCTAAATGCGAGCAAGAGAGCTAATTTGAGGGAAATTGCTTTTAGTCGATTAAAATTAGGGGCGCGTTTAATGATGTGTGAAAAAGGAAACAATTATGATAATGGGTAATAAGCAGATTGATAAGGGCATTTATTTAGGTACCTTAATAGAACGGAAAAGGAGCACTTATGATTGTTAAAAGGGAAATTATCAGAGATAAAAAGGGGCACTTAACGCACAAGGATCACTGATCAGATAGGAAAAGGGGCACCGTATATAAGAATGAAGAAGGAGACACTTTTAATAAAGAAAAATGTGTACTGAGTTGAGAAAAAGGGGCGCCGATCAGATTTGAACAGGAGCATTTATCGGAGGTGAAAGCAGGCTTCATGAAAAGGAAGAAGTGGTCTCTTAATTATTAAACAGAAAAAGAGGCACATAATATGATTAAAATAAACGTTGCACTTATTAGAGATGAAAATGGAAGGGACACTTATATAGGAAGGAAAAAGAGCATTCATTAGAAAGGGTAGTTATTAGCGATGAGCACTTATCACAAAGGAAGGGGCGATGAAGGCCAAAGTAAAGCGAATGTCTCTCAGATTTAAATAGGGGCAATTATTGGAGGTGAAGGAGATCTTATCTGAAGTTAAAAGGAGTAACTTCTCATACCTGAAAAAGGGCATTAATTCGGCCACAGATGAAAAGGGATATTTGTGAAAAGGGGTAGAGGATCTTTTGATTCCAAGACCAACGGAGGAACTTATCATTCGGAAAAGGGGCACATGTGGAAATATTAAGGTGCGCTTGTCTAAGTTCTAAAGGGGGCACTTAATATCAAAAGTACAGAGGGGCACTTCCCGTAGGCTACCTGAAAAGGGGGACTTATTACTAGATAGCACTTATGAAAATGGTAAATGGACACTTATTGCACTTTTAAAAAATAATGGGTGCACTTAAAAGTAAAAGGGACACTTTACCAATGGAAAACGAGCACTTCTTACAAAGGTGGGGCCCGCGTTCTCTTATGTAAAAAGGAGCTCTTTTGGGGTACTTGAAAAAGTAGGGAGGAGCACCGGGGGCGCGCTGTGCACCGCCCCCCCCCCCCGGGACCTGGAGGGCCGCCTTCGGGGTACGTGGAGGTCAGATCATAATTGATTTTCTAAAAAAAAAAAAATTTGCACAGGTTGTTTCACAAGGTTTTACCTCTGAAAAAAAACTTTCCTGTATGAAGTTGAAAATCACTTCTTTCTTCAAATTCTTGTGTTTTGGATACCGGGAGCAACTTATTTTTTTCCTCCTCGGTGAGTCAAACCCGATTTTCCACTCTCGCTGAGTTGGTAATTTATTGTTACAAATTCAAATTCAAATTCAAACTTCATTGATTTCAATCCAAACAGATAGGATCATTTTTAATTTGTGTACATTGGATAACAAATTTCAAGGTTATAGTGTAACATAGATAATTGAGTGTAAGAATAAAGATAACAATATAACCAAAAGTGACACAAATTAACATGTTACATGCATGATATTCAACCAGCATTTTTGTTTGGGGGGGGGGGGGGGGTGGGTGGATGGTGGATGTTCAACCTTTGTCAATCTGTATCTTGGTTATTTTTATATGAATCCTATAGTTGATCACTCGGTTGATTTTGCGTCAATAATGGTTTAGTCATGCACGATGCCCATTGAATTGTAGGGCACTGGCATTTCTCGCGCTCTCTTCATTGGCACTTCATAAGTGATTGAAGGAACAATTAGAGAGCGGCTGCTATTTTCAAAACTGCTTTGTCACGTTTATCTTGTTGAAATTAGGTATTTTATGATACTTTAAGATGGATACAGTTGACATTTGGAAGTTGGCATACGAAGGTGACCTTGGTGCACTAAGGGTGAGAGCAACAGAGGATAAATCTCTGCTCTTAAAGTTAGACCAGGTAAGCAGGTAGAGATATTGTAGCCCAACTCGTTCAACTTTGTGTAGGCTACGGTACCGGTACGGTACGCGGTAATGATTTACATGACTTGTGCGCAAATCGCTATTTGGGAATGACGATGCAGATATCTCGATTGGAGGCAGGTTAAATGATTGGAATTTGAAATGATTGAGTTATACTTATAAAATAAACCATTTATATAATCATAAATCGAGTAACATGTATTATATGACTTTTAAATTATGACTGACATGACTAATTGGACGTGGCTGGTCACTGCCACTGGGAAAGATCTTGTCAAATCATTCAATTTTAAACAAATTAAAAGAAACACCAAGTTTGTCATGTATACCAGCCAGATTCTTTTTTTAATTGTGAGTAGTACTCTCTGCTCTTAAAGCACAAAGCTCAGAGTAGAAAACATGATATATGTGTACTTAATTTTCTGTTATCCAGCAATCAGTGCAGTATTTTGTCATCGTTTGAAAGGGAAACAAAATAATCAACACATTTTGCTGTTTAACTTGCTTGCGGCGTAATTACGGTATCACTTTACGATCAAAGTTAACATTAGCGCATATTACGTAGTTGTTTTGTAATTTTAATAATTAAGATCAACCTTGAGGCATAGCTATGTACCCATTTATTGCATAGAACATTTTTTGTTAGAATAACTTGTCTTATTCGTAACTTTAATCATTATTTTACAGAGTGATCGTATGCCCCTTCACTGGGCGGCATCTGGAGCAAAGTTTGAGGTTGTCCAGTATTTGTTGGAAAATGGAGTTCCAGTCAATGTATCAGATGATGTAAGTGTTTGACTCTGTTTTGCCTCGTTAAACAGAACCTTGAAGGGATTGTTTGCATTATATCATTCCATTTTATCCTCTCTTTCCCCTTACCTCTCTTCTCCCTCTTTCCACACATCATTGTCTATTTCCCTGTCCCAGTCTGAGCCATCTCTGCCTTCCTTCACTGTCTATCCCTGCCCCTCTCTCTCTCTCTCTTTTCTCTATCTAAATGTTCTATTGAAAAAGATATATTATTCCCCTATTCTCATTGTTTCTTTTCCTGAGCTGAGAAAAAAAAGAAAAATGAAGAAAAAAACAGAAGAAACAAGATAGGAAGAAGGTGAACAAGAACAAGAAGGACAAGAGGAAGGAGAAGAATGTATTGATGAAAAAGAAGATGAGAAGGGACATTAAAAAAGGCACAAGTAGAGAGTGTTTATGCTCTGGAAAGCTTGAGATGCGCTTTGGTGAAACTTTTAATAAAATAGGACCTCTGCCAGGTAATTCACTTGGCAGTAAGCAACAACAAAAAATAGCTCCTTTAACACAATTTTATATTTACAATTTGACATCTTCATATATCTTCTTCATGCTGTCCTTTCTCCCTCGAACTTCTTACTTAGCTGTCCCTTCCGTATCTGTAATATGTCTAAAAATTATTTAGATTTTTCTTTCTTTTCTTCTGTCAATTTATTTGAGCACAACTACTCTCTTTGTGCACTCTGAAATGATGAAAACAAAACTTGACCATTCTAAAATATAAATACAAAAATATGATAATCCTAAATCTTGCCAACTGTTTACATTTAATTCTGCTTATTTCTTATAGACATTTGAATACAGATTAGATCCGTTCCAAAGTTAACATTCAGGCATAATGTTTATTGTGAGTTGATGTTCCTTTACTTGTGAATGCATAACATTTTCATAAAAAATTTCTGAAGATATTTCGAAACATTTTTTTTTTTTTTTGCAGTCAGGTTGGAGTCCTTTGCACATTGCAGCATCCGTTGGTCATGCAGGTATTGTCTCTGCTCTGATTGGTCAGAATGCTGAAGTCAATGCAACCAATCATACGGGACAGACACCTCTCCATTACTCCTCATCAAGAAGTAGGGTCGAGGTTAGTATCCGATAATTATTGTAGGAACCAGAAGAGTTATCATATTCTTTAACACAGAAGTAACCTCATTCTTGCTCCAAACAGGTGAAATTGTATTTCAAGTTCTCAACCTCTCCACAAACATTCAAATTCTTACGGTATCCCAAGTTTGTATTCAATGTAGCATCATCAATAGTATTGTTTTATTACTCCAAGTACACACCCAGTCTGCCTTGCATTTACGCCTACAGGAGTAATGAGCCGTACTATCCCATCAGATTTACAATTTGACCCCTTGACATATTACATTTACATTAACATCGGGGGGGGGGGGGGGGGGTTAATGCAAATATATAAAAGGCCACAGACTCGGGGAAGGTATGTTCCTATCATTTTATTTTGGTTTCCATTTCCCTTCTTTGCTATCTCTCTGTTCTCATTATTTCTGCCAGTCAGTGATGGTGTGTGTGTAGGGGGGGGGGGGGGTGTTGAGGGTGATGTACACTAGTGTGCTCCGTCAAAGTCCAACTAGTCCTTATGTTAGCTGTATTCTGTTCATATTGTTCTTTTGCATTTTAATATTTGTTTCTGTGAAATGTTTGAGCATTTTTTCTCGACCACTTTTCATCTCAATGATGGTTTCAGCTGTTTGTGATAGACTCCTCTCCATACCCTCATAAAGAAAATGTTGTAGAGCACATTTCCACCACGCAAAAAGTTCAAGTCACTCCAATGTTACTCCTGTTCTGCTAGGCTTCCGTTTTTTCTGTGCTCATAGCATTGAAGGGATCCCTTCCAACCGCTACCCATGAAATACCTGGGTGGAGAGAGGCAAATGAAGATTATGCAGGAGAGTGGAGATTTATAACCGAGACACCGATCGATGAAATTCTTGAATGAAACCGAATCCAATGACAGAGAGAGAGAGAGGGAAAAAAAAAGAGAAAGATAGAGGAGAAAATACAGGGAGAAAAGAGAGGAAGAGATGGAGAGGGAGTGAGAGAAGGAGAGGGGGAACTTGAGCAGCTGGTTCTGAGAAGGCAAATCACATCATATTCATGCTCTCTCTTCCAGGTGACGGAGATTCTTTTGGACCATGGAGCCGATCCAATCATCAGTGATGAGAACGGAGCCACGCCCCTCCACCGTGCCGCCTCCAGAGGAAACCTAGAGATCGTCAAACTCCTCCTCCAGTTCAACTGCAGAGTGGATGCAACAGATAAACAAGGAAACACTCCATTGTAAGTGATAACCTTAAACTTTAATAATAACAAATAATTGTCATGACCTATCTGTATAGAAATTATGTTGATTACATGCTTGGATAAGGGAGGTGGGAGGAATATTTGCATAAAAAACATGGGACAGATACATGTTTTTGTTTATGACCTTATTGTTATCAGAAATGAAAAAAAATGAGGGATTTGCTATGCTATGAATTCTCTCTATTTCTTATATTTTAGGAAGCAATATATCTAAACACACAATCCAACATAAAAATAGGATGACTATTTACCAAATTTTGTGTGTGAACATATTTAGCCTTTTTTTAAATATAATGCTAATGAATCTTTAGAATATACTTTATTAAAAATTGTATTTTTTGGATAGCTGTTAGAACAGCTACATTTCAACACATTTAACCACATATCCATTGTCTTTATCTTAGTGTTTTATCACTTTAATCTATGTATCTTCTTCCCTCTCAGACATCTAGCCTGTGAGGAGGAGAGAACTGAGGAAGCTGTTGCGCTTGTAGAACATGGTGCAAGCCTTGAAATAGTGAACAAGGTCAGTTTGGTATACACTCCCACCTTAGGCAGCTCAAAGTGAAGGAAACAGTATTTTGCAGAATATCATCCATTCATTTACCTCATTGCCTACTGGAAACAGATGGCTCCTATATCAAACCTGTAGGGAATATAAGAATCCGGTAGCCAAAGGGTTAAAAATAGTTTAAGAATCACCCTCTGTACATGCTCACATCTTTTGAAATGACAGAGTGTAGTAGTTTGTTTGAAAATCCTCTTTCTTTACCTATTAGATTGTGACATTTCTATACTGTTACACAATTTTAATTCAAGTTTTCTTTCAACAACCTTATGTTATAGTAACTAGTAGGCATTATTTAGTAGCTGATAACCATAATAATTTTATTTATATGAATAGATTGTGATAGTATAGGACGAAATAGGAATAAGTACATGTAAGATATATACTAAAGAGAAAACCACAATATTTATCGAGCTTGTCATATTGTTGTTTTTTTTGTGGGGGGGGGGGGGGGGGGGGTGGGGTTGGGGCTAGGAGTTGAAGGAGGAAAGCAATGAAAAGTTATCCTGCATGAAATCCTATAGGATGAGATTGCATACATGTATTCCCTGACTTAAAACTCATTTCCATCTAAATGCAAATTGTGAATTTTCATTTTTTCAATATGCATGAATTTTCAGAGCTACTTGATTTCTAATTGATTCCATTATTTTTTCCATCTTCTTTTCAGGAGGAGAAGACACCCCTTGCCATGGCACCGGCAGGGTTAGCGAGGTCTTTGCAGAGATTAAAAGAATAGCGCCATCTTATGATGAGAACAGATATTTTTTTGAAAATGTGAACTTGCTGTTGAACGACAGAGATGTATAAAAGGACGATGAAGCATTGCATTCACCATTTTTGGAAAGAAATCTTGCTGTACATGCATTGTCGGAGAGAGATGTTAACTCTTTGCCTGCGGTGGTAGACAAACAATGGACTGACACATGTTTGTGAAATATACAGGCCAAAATTCACAAAGGAAGTTTGTTTGTTGAGGTTTATCGACAAACCTCCTTTATGAATTCGAGCCACAATCTTTATTGGTACACATACTCCAAACAATGTGGCAATTTAGAGTTTTAATCCATAACAAATAGAGGGTTAAATCAGAAAGCTTAATGACCTGTTTTCTTTTATTTGGGAGCACTATTATAATCTGTAAACATGTGAAAAATCTAAAAGATCCTTTGGATAAAAACTTAATCTCATCAAGATATGTAATAGCTCATCGAAAGACTAAGTTTAAATTTTAACTCAAAAACTTTAGATGCATTTAGAAACTATCTTTGTTTTGTTGAGGGGTAAGGGGTTGAAATATTACATTATCGGAACACATTTGGAAATGTAAATAATGTAATTTTATTCATATGAATGCAAGAGATCCTGTGGATAGAAATTTAATCTCGCAATGAAAAGCAAATAACTACCGTTGGTGAAGGTGATGGGACAAACTATCACTTCCGAGACGATCTGGATGTAGCTATCTTTCCGAAGCGAAGCTGAGGAAAGATAGCGACATTCTGATCGACGAGGAAGTGATAGTTTGCCATCGCCTGAAACCAAAAGGTGACCTTTCTTCACACAATTATTTACTTTGGTAAATAAAATTCTCTGAGCAAGTGCACTGACCAGCTAAGTAGCTAGTTTTGTTTAGTTTCTTTTACTTGATGATTTCTTATTGCACATTACTAGTAAACTGTTTAGAAAATAGCATCATCAAATTGCTATTATACATTTCAAATATAAGGTAGCTCAAACAATGTCCCTCGTTCAAAATCACTCCACACTTTCAAAGTTCAATCGTATTTCTTGTTCCTATTTGATAAATCTTATTGTACTTAGATTATTTTTTTTTTGTATCTTATATTTCCAAGAACAAAATATGATTTTGTACTTTGCAGTAAAATGTTGATAAATGTATGAATGTGTTTAAATTATCTGAAATAGTGAATTGCTTGATTATTTAGCTCTGTTCGATCTTCTTTGATAAGGATGCAAAGTGCTGGGAGAGACACACACATGCACAAAGACAAAGATACAGACAGACAGAGGGGATGGGAAAGAGGGTGTGAAGGAAATAGAGTAGAGAGAGAGAGAGAGGTGATTTGTGGGAGGAGGGTGTGCAAGATCTAGAGAGGGAAAGAGATAAATGGACAATAGATAGAAAAAAGAGAGGGAGAAGAGTAGAGGACAAGAAAGAAAGAGTGTAGGGAGAGAAGAGGGGGTGGAGTCAAGGGGTATAAAGTAAAGATAGAAAGAAAGAAATGGAGAAAAGATTGAAGAGAGAGGGGGAAGATATAATGGAAAGAATAGAGAAATTAGAGGGTAGGATTGAGAGCAAAGTGAGTGAGATGGTGGGAGGGAGGGGATAGATTAAAAGAGAGAAATACAGCAACGAACTGGCTCATGGAGAGATTTAATGATATTTCAAATACTATGGGAAGAGATTTCCTGATACACAATGATAGTAAACCTTTAGTGGTACATGAAGTACCCTAATTTCATAGATTAACCGTGTATTACTTGGAAATTAAACTAAGCTGTCCTCTCAACATGTCCGAATGTTAAAAGAACTTATAATATGGAGCACAGTTCATTTTGTTGTGACTAATGGGTTATTTTCTTTAGGTAGAATTCTTCAAACCATACAAATTAAACTGCAATGAGCTATACCGGTAGCAGTTTACAACAACAGTTCCAATACGTTGTCTGCACTTTAAAATATTTTTTTAGGACTAGACAAGCACTTAATTTCAAAGATATCCAGAGAACTCAATTATCCATTATATGCGCTGAAAATACCTTTGTAAGGAAAATGTGGTTATTAACTTTTGTTTTGTATATACTCCCTAAATATTGCTATTAATAACAAAAAATATGTAAAAAGGAATAAACAGATTAATGGAATTTGAATTTTTTTTTTTTAAAGAAAAGCAAAAGCATAGGACAAACAAAAACAATAATAACCACAAAACGCCAAAACAAACAAACCAGGGAACCAGGGTTAATTTCTCTTTTTTAGAGACCAGTGATTGATGACAGCCTGTATTGCTTTTTAAACTCTGCTTTGTCGACTAAACCTGGAATCTAATACATTGTATATGTATTCTAGATAATGCCAATAGATCACATAAATTCCTACATAACACCACGTATAGTTATATTTTTTAACATGAAACGTATGATTTATACTTGTCTATCAATTACAAGACTCATATTTTATTTAACCATAGCCATAAAAACATACAAAACAATATTACCACAAAACAGTTTGGAAAACGGAAAGAACCAAAATAAAAGCAAACGCTTGTGAGGAGTGGCCCTGAAAGAGAGAGAGACAAAATATATATTCTCTTCTTTATTTTTCATTATAGGTTGATAAGATGTTTTCCACCATCATGCTATTGATTTTAGATTCAGTTTCACAAAATGCATCTGCTAAGTCATACTCCTGCTTTACGTCTGTTTTTAATTTTCAATAAATTAAAATATAAATACACACACAAACAAGTCATGATCCGGTATTAAATGCACCTGAATTACGGTGGCGCCAGCTATACAGCTTTTCGCATTTTCTACCACCTGTCACCTTCTCGCATGCCGCAAGCCAGGCAAGTGCGCCACCTTGCTATTCATGTACGGGGCTAGACGATTATGCGTACCATTCTCAACAGAAGTATAGAACAGGCTGGGCAAGCTGAGACCAACGAAGAAGCGCCGCTGATTCTATACAAGGTACTCATAAATACACACAGTCGATAAGTGCCGGGGATAAATGAACTTTTGATCGGGCTCCTTTTGTGAATGTAAAATATATTTCAACCTTAAATCAGACTTTGCGTTGGGGATTAATATAACGACATCATTCAGAAAAGGACAACATTGTAAGGTAAGACGTGTTTGTTTTTATTTAGATTGAGGAGGTATTTAGAATGGATGGAAATTAAAGGTGTATTTTCTGCGACCGGGTAGCGATATTTTTACCTTGAGCAATTTCTTCCAGTCTTTCCAAAACATAATTACCCTCTTCAGCATCCTCTTTTTTAAAGCTTAGTTCATTATGCATAAAAGGGAATTAATTCTTAATTATATTAAAGTAAATAACTCTATTCTTTGGTAATATTATGCAAAATGCTTTGTAGGAAGTTGTCCTTTTTTAACATTCAAACAAGGCACTGTGTATAAATGTGTCAGGCACTAATTTTCTTTATTTGGTTTTAATACATCCAATTTAAAATTAAACAAAATTACCACCGATTCAAACATTTTATATGCAAGCCAAAGTCTTTCTTATTTTACCATCCATATGTAAAAAAAAAGAAAAGATAATGGCCAGTGTTTGGTTGAATTATTATGTTATCTTCATCTATCATGTTTTTAATGTCTGTGGGGAAAGAGAAAGTATATAATGCAATATTCAGGACCTACCCTCAACTATAAAGGAAACTGATGTTATTGTGTAATAGGTAATATAATCATGACCCTAATCCTGTAATTTAATGACTCTATGTGTACGATTTAATTGACCTGTGCAGATATGATCTTTATGAATGGTATTTGCATGTGCGAAAATAAAATAGTGGGGATTGGACTGTTCTCTAACGATACACAATCATGATTGCGCCCTATATATATTTTTTTTTTTCAGGGGGGGGGGGTTGTATTATTTCAAACCTTTACCATTATCTTTCTTTCATATTCTGCTTCGACTCTGAAAGCAATGTGTTGGAGAAAAGGACTGTCTGCACTATATCATTTACATCACCTATTAAACCAATTTGAAATTCCCATACGTATAGTAAGTACAGCTTTTAGAAATTCATAACTTTGTGACTTTTTGTCTGATTTCTCTCAAAATTTCACCATTCTGCTAACCCTGAATTTTTCTTCTTTCTGTTTAGTTTTATTTGCTATGAAGGTATCATTTCCCATTAAGACTTTAGTGAGAAGCTGAAATAAAAAATAATGGTCAGATGTTAACGCATGTTTTGTTTTTTCTCCTAGACTTTTGACTGAAACTTTCTTACTGTTCAGTACTTGAGATTTTATAACATGACTGCCTGCACGTGGAAATTTTCCCGAGAGTAATTTGGTACCTGTTTGTCTGACTATTAAACTCAGGGCATTTCCTTTCCAAGGAGAGCACCTGGTACCAGTTCCTTTTGTACCGACATTATTTTACAATCTGTACTTTGAACACCCTTGTTAACAATATATTAATGTACAATGTGTAAGCTTCTATAAAGCAATAGCCTATAAAGTAGTTTTGTCTGTATGGAGGAAACGAATCGCCATTTAAGGTCAAGCTTTTATTAAAAGAACACATACAGGTATATATTTGACATTATATGTAAGCAAATAGGCTACATTATATATTATTTACATAATATAATACTTCCAAGATGTTATCAATCCTTTATTGAAATTAGCTTATCTACAAAGTCGTATTTAGTTGTGTATATTGCAGGAATAGTGGGTGGTGTACATTAATTTGTTGGCTGCCAGCAATTAGGCAGTTACTTCAATTGACAAAATAATTAATGCATGTGGCTCTGATCTTTAAGCCTTCTTGGGGAGGGGGTGTCAATGAATTACCATTATGTGACAACTGCAAATTCAAAATCATGAATCAGAATTTAAATGCTAAACATGAAAATATATGGCATATATAATCATGTACATGTATATTTTGCTCCCGGCAAAACTATACGTATATGAGATCATCATCATACTGATTTCAAAAATATCATTTGCATTTCATTTATTTTATTTCTTAAGAATGTCTCTAATTAAATCTCCAAAATTTGGTTTTAGACCACGAGGGAGGGGTGGGATTGGGGGTAAAACCTACTGACATAGGAATATAAAAAATATGGATTTGGAATTGAAAGATCCCAATTTGCAATGATTTGAGCAAAGAAGATTTTCTTTAAAATATTGACCTAGAAGTTGCAGTCAATTCAAATGAATTCTTCAAATGTTTCTGTTTAGATGATTTCACCTAGTAGTAAGAACTTGTGATAACCCCCTACACAACTCTCAAACACCCATCACCATGAGCTCAAGTCGTCAGAGAAAGGAGGTGGCGAGGAGATTGAAATCCAAGGTCAAGAACTACTGCTCCAAGGAGAAATGGAAGGAGCGCTTCCCCATTTCCATGTGGCTGCCAAAGTACCGCATCTACAAAGGAGTCAATGATATCATCGCTGGACTGACGGTGGGTCTTACGGTGCTGCCTCAAGGGCTGGCCTATGCCGGTATCGCCAAGCTTCCATCGGAGGTAAGCCTTTTTTTTAATAAATATAAACCCTCGAGGTGTCGTGGATGAGTTGATATGTCACCGGACTGTCAATCACAAGGTCCGCGGTTCGAGTCCCGCCGCGGCACTAATGTCCTTTGGCAAGACATTTATCTACATGTGCCACACTCAACCCAGGTGATGTAAATGGGTACCTGGCAGGAATTAATTCCTTGATATGCTAGAGCGCCGGAATGGCACCCATGCTAAAGCCAGGGTAATACAAGGACCCCCTATTATTATTATCTAACCATACACACTCATCCAGAATACGATAATGTACGACCTATCATGATAGAGGATGAGTGGGCCTTTTTCAGGGCCAACTAATTCTGTCGAAAACAATACATGGTGAAACATCAAACCTTGCTGGCCATGGAAGCCTTCAAAGATGACAGAGGTAAGTCAGTGGCACCTCCATTGCTGGATCAAAGACAGTAAATATTTTATCTCTTTCGGGGTTGCACTGAACTTACTGAAAGTCTATGCATATTACAAGGCTTCCGGCCTCTGAGACAAGTTAGTGTCACTGTTACTGTTGAAGAACAGTCAATGATGTAATCTCTTAGTGAACTGTGGGTTTCACTTTACATCCTCAAGGATTGGTATTTAATGGTTTGGCATCGCTTTCCTCAGGGGTCGGTCTCTGTCCCTTCCGATGTTGAAGGCCAGTCAATTATGTAATTGTTTGGTAACCAATGGGTCTAACCATAGTATCTTCAGGTCTGGTTCTATGGTAATGTAGCAAGGCTTTGCTGAGAAGTGATTTGTGAGTGAGTGTCAACTCCATGATTTTAATTATGGCCAGTCACGTCATAGTCATTGGGGGTTTACTGTTAACTGAGCCTCCTCAAGAACTGGTCTAGAACAGTGTATTGCTGGTACATTGATTTGAATACTTATTATCCATTTTGTGGCTATCTGTAGCTACATGTAGATATAGGTTTTCCATTGATAATAATATACAAGTTTAATTAGACATTATACAGAATTTGTGAAATATGGAGGATAAGTAACTCCAGAAATTATGATTTAGTATAAATACATGGGTCTTGAATAACATATAGTAATTGAAGGTTTTACTAATCTTGCAATTTAGACATAAATTAATTCTTCTGCTTTGACCCCATAGTATGGACTCTATGCAGCCATTATGGGTGGGTTCATGTACGCTCTCTTTGGGATGTCCAAAGATATCTCGGTTGGCCCCACAGCCATCATGTCCCTCCTTGTGGCTCAGTATGGAACACCCATCCCAGGAGACGAAGAGTTGAACGATCCAACCTATGCCATACTGTTGGCATTCTGCTGTGGAATCGTCCAACTCGTCTTCGGGATCCTACATCTAGGTAAGTACTGAGGGACTTCAGCAATGATTAAAGATAAACTTGAGTTCTGGTAAAAAAAAAAGAGAATGAATTCTCACAGAATCTAACGAAACTTACACTGAATGTTCAAGATTACAAATAAATGTCATGTGCCAAACAGTTTTGGAAAAAAATGTATACTGGCTGAGTAATGAGCATAGAAAGATAAGGAAATCAGGGTAGTACTAGCCCCGACACCATGTGTGTTGTCCCATATACATCTTTCTGTGTAAGTGATTGTTACTTTACCAAGACTCTGCCAAATTTATGGTGATTTTAATGACTCCGGAACCTTTCATTACACACCATTACTTACATGCTATAATTATGATCAACTTTTCTGATCCATTCCACACCTTTTCTTTCACAATGCAATCGCATTACCAGAACTCAAGTTTATCTTTAAACATAATTTTGATCCTTTGATATTTTTTTTAGAGGAGGGCATTAACTATGTGTGAACTGAGAAGAGTTGTGGCTCCAAACGAATGATCATTATAATTGAATGAGAACTTGACACTTGAATTATAATACTTCCGAATTTACAACTAATTATCAAACTGAGATTTACACATGGAGTGGGAGGGCATCAATTGATTTTGAGTAAGTTTTTGTTATATTACCCTAGCTAATCAAATGACGTATAAAACATTGTTTTTTGTGTTTTTTCACAAATCGAGGCCCGAAACCCAGTATATAACTGGGCCCTGTTATATAAAACTAGTTTATATCAATAACATATGCTAGATTTATATGGGTCATATACATTCAAGTGAGAGCCATTATTAAGCATTATTGGCATTTTTAGTACACTTTGAAGAACAATGAATCCCCTTGATCAAAGTACCTTCTAAACATATATCTGTGTTTGGAGAGATGTGCTTTCGTTTTGTCTGATTAAATTAAGTACATGTAGTAACCCATTCACACAAAGGAAACTAACATGAGACTGACAATAGACTGACAAAAATCATTACATTGCCATGAATGGTAACGAATCAGTCTGTTTGAAGTCGGGGAGGGGGGCCGTGTGACTGCAGTATAACCCATTAATCTTAATTATTTACAGTTATGAGTTGGTATTAAAACATTTTATAATCGAATTTGTTGTTATGAGATGTGTTCCTGGTTTTGTTCGTTGGCATTCATCAATTGGGAACTGAAACCTTCCCTTCAATTTTTTCGTGAGCTCATGTTTGTTTTTAATTTATGAAAGGATTATAAATAATCTTTTTAATAAGCCAGTTCACGGTTGCAGTCTGAGCATGAGCAGATAAAGGTCATTGCAGAACAAATTTTGAAATACACGGAGACGAAATACTGGATACGTGCTCATGAAAATTATGTAATCATTATTTATTCATGCACATTCAGTGCACTCCATGATACACAGGTGGAAGTATTCTTTGAAAGGGGAAACAAAGGCTATTTATATAGCACCTCCATCGCTGTAGGAGTGACTATTTCAAAATGTACAAAGTGAGCCCTATTTATGTTTTGAAGATCTGTGGATATTTGGGGGTCATTGCAGTTATGTACTAACCGTGAGCTGGTCTATTGCTTAGATTAACGTTCTTCAATAGATATTTTCTGTTACTGTAGACATTTGTTAAATAAAGGGTAGAGATGTCATATAAGAACCTTCCTCATAACATTCAGGCAATACCTCCTTCTGAACTTATAAAATACAAAAAATTTATGTATTATCAAATTGTACAGATGCATACATTTCATATTTCTTTATCAATTTTGTTTTCCACAGGTTTTATAGCCAACTACATATCTGCAGTGGTAATAGCAGGTTTCACCTCTGCATCGGCTATCACCATAGCGATGAGTCAAGTAAAAACCATTCTGGGCATCAAATTCCCAGCGGAGACGTTTTTCCATGACCTCATCGAAACATTCAGGCATATCACTGAAACAAGGTAATGCAAGCCATGGTCACATAATAGGCCAGTTTCGTAATGTAACCAAATTTAATGCATACGTCTTTGTGAAGTGCCTCAATACAAATTATTTCATTCACCTGATAGGAATAATAGTGTTTCAATAGTCAGAATGCAACGGCATATATTAAGTGTTGCTAGGTAGGTCAAGCCATAATGTTTGTCCAACCTGGCAACAACTAATGTATGCAGTTCGGTTCTGTCTATTGAAATACTATTATTCTTATCAGGTGAATGAAATAATTTGTATTGAGACACTCTACAAAGACTTATGCATTAAATTTGGTTACATTACGAAAATGGCCTATTAGTAAAGTTATTTTGAATAAGCCAGTTCACGGTTGTAGTCTGAGCATGAGCAGATAAAGGTCATTGCAGAACAAATTTTGAAATACACGGAGACGAAATACTGGATACGTTCTCATGAAAGTTATGTAATCATTATGCATTCATGCACATTCAGTGCACTCCATGATACACAGGTGGAAGTATTCTTTGAAAAGGGGAAACAAAGGCAATTTATATAGCACTTCCATCGCTGTAGGAGTGATTATTTCAAAAATGTACAAAGTAGGACCTCTTCATGTTCGGAAGATCTGTGGATATTCGGGGTCATTGCTGTAATGTGCTAACCGTGTTGTGGAAGTTTTTGTAACGCATTATATCACCCCATTTTCTAACAAGGCCTGTTGGTTTCTTTGGAGTCCCTTTTCCTCTCTATATTTATGTGGCCTCCTTCGTTTTTACCTCCTATCATCTTTTTAAAAACATTTACTATAATTTTTTAATTTTTGTTTGTTTGTTTGTCTGATTACATTGTTTTCTATTCGTTGATTACTCTTACTTTCATTCTTTAAAAAAGGTATATTTTCATGTCCGTTAATGCTTTTTTTTCTTTTTCCTATTCCTCATAGTCTATTTTGTTTCGTTCATCAATTCAGTTTTTTATATTGCACTTTTTAATTGAGTAAAACAAATGTTTATAACTGTACTATTGCCATTACAGAGGTAGATATTACAAAGGAGGGAGAGTAATTAGTGTTTAAGCTCGATATTGCACATTTATCAAATAATAAGTTATGAATTAATTTGGGTAAAACCCCCTCAATCTCCCTGCTGTATTTTACACTTTTGTGAAGAGTGTGTCACATTTTCATATCTCATAGTAGACGTTTTATGTACATATCTAATATCATCAAAGCATTGCTGTCGCTGGCCTGGGAAGTTAGCAAATATATACAGATAGACAGCTCTTGTTGGTTATCTTTATCAGGTAATTAAGAGCAAATCACAGTGTAAAGCTCAAACACCATCTGTAACAAATAAAAGTCAATATTTGCTGCATGAGTGTAGTCAGGCTGTAAGGAATAATAGACTGTGATAAAGATATTGCTTCCTTTTTGCATACGTTAAAGGTACAGTTCGTGCTAATAAAATTTCACATTTTCAAATTGCCTCATACTTAGTTAGGAGAATAAGATTTTTTTTAAATAAAACCACATGTAGAAAGAAAAAAAACTAATATTCATCCTCATGTGGAAAATGGAGCAATATATTTAAAGCTTTTTATTACATCATATATTTTGTAATTGATCTCAAATCTATTTTTTATATATGGTTGTAAAAAAGTCAGAATTCAGATCATTGCTTTAGATCAAATACAATAAATGAAACCATGCAGCTCTATGATTTCTTTATCAGGTGAACTCTGTCCTAAATTATTGAATGATCAAAGGTCAATACTAGAAAATACCATTAAAGTTGATGATAAGTGAACAGATTATATTTGATCTACGATAATTGCCTCCAGAGATTATCATAATATCATTCACATTTTCCCTAATGTGATTTGTTTTATTAAACCTTGTTAATATTCATACAGCGTTTGTTTGTTTACTAGTACAAGTGGGTGTGTCTCTAACAATGTAGGCTACAAGATGTATATGTATGTACGAGAGTTAACACATTACAAAATAGACATAGGCTCATTTGTTTATAACTATATGTAGTTGTAGTCTAGTTTGAATTGCCAACAGTGCATATATCAGGACTGTAAATTGACATGCATTATGTAAACGCAGTTTATCATTAGTAGAAGTAGTAGTAGTAATGTAGTAGTAGTTTAGTAGTAGTAGTAGTAGTAGTAGTAGTAGTAGTAGCAGCAGCATCACCACCATCATTACCACTATTATGAAGTAATACAAATGAATATCGTAATATTAATATCATTATTAAATTAATATTAGTGGTCATCGGTGCTTCGCTTGCATCATGGCTTTAGATAAGAACATTCACCTTCCTGGTAGCTGATTATAATCTTCCCATTTTCGTTTTCTCTCTCTCTCTCTTTTGTTGTTGCCCCAGGTGGCAAGACCTCACTCTTGGATTGAGCTGCATTGTTGCACTGGCATTAATGAGGGTAAGATTGTAGATGAAGAATAACAAGGTTTTTTACGATGTGAACGATGGTAGCACTGCTGTTGGAAGAAAAAAAAACATAGATTAATAGTGTGAATGAGTTATCTTTACAGAATGGGTATTTTGCTTTTAAAAAATAGTGTATCAAAGTTTTTGTCCCACTAATACACATTTCGTAATTAATGTTTTTTAAATTACAGAATTGCTTATTGCTTCAAACAAGTTTTATGATGTCTAAATTCTATCTAGCATCAATGCTGGAAGGGGACTTTTTAGATCCAGTGTTGGAAAAATTAAATTAGTTTAGTGAATGATTTGCCTTCATGTGATATTAAGTTGAATTAGTTTCATAGTGTCAACATTCTTGGAAATATGCTGTGTCTATTGCTATTCTTTTTAAACCACTCTAATACTTTCAGATTCTCAACTGTGTTTTTGTTTGCTTACACAACTATACTTAATTGTTATTTTTTGTGAGGAAAAGTTGAGATAATTAAATTGACAAAAATGCTGTTGAAATGATTGCACTAAATGTGGATATCAGATAGTATGAGTACCTTATGGATCACATATCCGATATCATATATTGAACATGTTTTTCTCTATCCATTTTCCTTATTCTCTTTAGTTCATGAAGAATATAGCGCAGCAAAAAATAGAAAAGTTGGGAAAGAAGCCCCCATTGAGAAAAAAGATTATCTGGAAGTTTTTATGGGTGTTTGGAACTGGTGAGTGTTTAGCTGTATTATAATCACAATAGTTCAGATAAGAAAACTTATTATTGACTGTCTTTGTGAGACGCTGCATATAATCACTCAAGCCAAACTTGAGTTAATCGATGTATACTTAAGGACAGTAGTTGACAAACTGCATCTTTATTTTCTCTGACAATTATAACTTTATTCATTCCATTTACAAGAAAAAATATTAATGACAATCAAGTAAAATCAACCCTTGAAGATGTTGCTTTAAAGAAGAAGAAGAAGAAGAAGAAGAAGAAGAAGAAGAAGCAAAATGAGAAGAAGAAGAAGATGAATTACAAGAAGAAGAAGGGGAGGAGGAGGAGAAGGCCAACAACAACACGCCAACAACAACAAGATGGAGAAGAAAAGGTCGAGGGGGTTATCATGATAGAATACTTGAGGGGGGATTCAAAGAGTGATGTGTAAAATATGAAAAATAATAGTAAACTTTAAATCTTCTCCTTTAAATCTTCTCCTTCCTCTTCTCCTTCATCTTCCTTTCCTTTAGCTCGCAATGCCGTTATCGTCGTTGTAGCAGCAGGTATAACGTACGGGCTTCATGAGAATGGCATGGAGGAGGTCTTTACCATCACGGGTAATGTCACAGATGGTCTCCCGCCCCTGTCTCTGCCAAACTTTGGGGCAGACAACATCATCAAGGTAAGATAGATGCTTCATAAAACCTCAATATTTTAGTCATGCTGGACTAGAGTTGATTTTCTTTTTTAATAAAATATATGACATGAGAAAATATGTTGAGTTTCAACTCATAATTTTTTTTCTGAACTGTGATATGAACATACAGTGGTTGTACATCGGTTAATGTCGAGTGAAAAAACTCCATATTCGTGACGTTTAGATAACTTGGTTCTGTTTTTTTTTCTTCTTGATATTAGTTAGATAGTTAGATGGTAGATATTTATCACCAGACTAATAAACTCTTCTAGGCTTTCCATTGTAGACTAACTATCTAAATGTTTCAGTCAAAATTATTTAGTTTTATCTTTACATCTTTACTTTTATAGGTTTATGTGCAAGTCGAAAATGAAATGCATAATTTTTCATTCTCACTCCCACATAATTATGATCACTTTTGTTTGAAATGATTTGACCTAAAGACGAAACTCCTTGTTAAAATATAGGACATTTTGCAATACGCACAACAAATGAGTGAAAATATTTGTCTAAAAATATCATTACTAATTTGTCTAACTGCCTTTATGCATATGTACTATGTAGTGCAGTTAGAAACAAATAAATAACTATACTTGAGATGCAATAACTCATTGGATGCTATTTTTTCACTATTTAAAAGCATGAAAAGATATTTACAGCTCTTGGCATAGTGCAGTGAGTACACAAAGAAAATATGTATGAGATCATTTAACATACTGAAAAATAAATGTTTTGTTTTTAGTTATTGTTTGTTTGCATGAAACTCTCCATTATGCATTTTGAGTAGAGTATTATGTAACAATTTGAGCAACCTCATTTTTGCCACTTGAGCTAATGGGGGTAGTCTGAAAGATTAATTTTATCATTAATTGTTGTATGGTGCAGTTGTGTTCAAATTGCATTGCTGTAACTTAGCGAGTTAGAACACTTTCTTAAATAGTAGCTCTACTACATTCAAACACCAACTGATTTGTTTCTCTTGTCTTCCTGCTTTTATTGATACTAGCTATTTTTCAGGGTAGACTTCTCTTTTAAGTTAACTGCATGTGCATTTGTGTACTAACACTTTGTATTTATGTTTTTCCTCTGTTGCATTAACCATCACCAGCACTTAAATATAGGTCTTATAATCATACCCATGCTGGGCTTTCTGGAAAATATAGCTATTGTCAAGGGCTTTGGTAAGTGCTTTCCTGAATATTACCACATGAGCAATTAATGTCTTTGACATAGGTATTCACAATTATTCTCATTGAAAAACTGTGCATGGTAAAATAAATGCTCAGTGATTTTAATAGCTTTTAGTACTAAAGCCGGGGTAATGATATGATTGCAGGGCCCTCAAGGAAAACAGTATTAATACTGATGAGGCTATACACTTGATCATCAAGACAATTTATAATTATTATCATTATAATTATCATTATTATTATCATTATTATCATAATAATTATCATGGTACTGTTTTGTCTTTAAAAAAAAAGTTTTAAAACAAAATGTCATATTTTATTCAAATGCACGTTTAGTATCGGAGTATGAAGAGGTTGTTATAATGCTCATTAATTGTTCAGGCTTGTTATACCATACATTAGCCTTTATTATGATGTGAATAAGGAATGGATTTGAAAGGGTTCACAAGCCGACAATATTGACAGTCTTTTGACAGTGCTGAACAGAATATGATTTAAAGTGCAGCTATTGATCTTACTAATTTATATTATCGCATTTCACCTTAATAACTAAACATGCTTTTATTTTTTATGAATACTTTATTACTAGTCCCCTCTCACTGCAGTCTAACTCCAATTTCTACTAATAATTCACCTATTGCACATATTCACTTTTATATTTTGTAGAAGTATGTATAATTGTCACATGAGATTGCACAGAATGAACACTCTTCAAAGTGCAGGCAACATGTTGAAAATGTCTTTAAAAACAACTACCAGTATGTAGTCAATGACCATTTCATTGCAGTTTACTTTGAAGGTTTTAAGAATCCCACCTGCAGTTAATAACCAGCTTGTTTCTTGTATAATTTAGTTTGTGTATTTAGTTCTGTTTTCTTGCTTTCATTTGATTATTAGTCTATGAGATTCGTTTGTTATTTAATTTTTTTAATTTAGCTTCAGTTATTCGCAGTGAAATGATATGTGCCTTGTAATACACACGTTGATGGTATGTATATCCTTGATATTAAAACCTATCGTGATTTCTGTATGTTTACAGCTCGTAAGAATGGCTACCGTGTAGATACAAACCAAGAGCTGATAGCTATAGGTAAGTTGTCATTAGTACCAATATTATTTGACATTTGCCTAAGCTAAATCTTTGAATCTTTGCGTCCTTTTCATTCAGTGTTTTATAGAATTTTTTTTTCTTCAGACAATTGAAGGAAAAATATTCATTGATTCCGTCTTGTTTTTGCAGGGGCATGTAATATTGGTTCATCGTTTATCTCAGGATACCCCATTACAGGCAGTTTCTCAAGGTAAGAAATCATATTATAATTATTGATATAACAATTTACTGAATCCTTATCATCTCCATCATAATGAGAGATGGTTTATACCCCAATTGCACCAGCAATACCGACAGCAGACTGAATAGAAATAACATGACCCTGAATAACCAAGAAGCAGTTGGTTTTGAGACAGTCTGGCAGTGTGATTGATCAGGTATAGGTGTCTTTATTGTCATGGCAGAGTTGAGACCGAGTTGAGACAGAGTTGGAGGTGCCATGGTTTACTAGTCGATACGTCACCAAAATGTGGATTGAATCCTGCCGCTGCACTAATGTTCTTTGGCAGGACATTAATCTACTTTTGCCACGTTCCGTCCAGGTGACGTAAATGGGTACCTGGCTGGAATAAATTCCATGAAATGCTAGAATGTCATGATAATGGCAGCCATGCGAAAGCCATGGGATAATAATTGTGGAGCGCTAGGAGTGTCAAATTTGACAGACATGAGCGCTATGTAAAAACCTTTTATTATTGTTATTATTATTTCATCATGGGCAATGGCAGAGAGGGAGCTTTTCACATTTGTGACATAAGCCCTAAGTGACCACTGAGTAAGCATTCAGCAAACTTACTAGGGATCAAATGAACTAGTTGATTCGAAGTTAAACAAAAATGATCCACCAAATTTACCTCCAAAGACTTGAATATACAAATAGAATTAGAATTTACATCAAGCTGCATACTAGATTGATTCATAAATGGTACTGAAAATTATAGTACTGTAGATTAAAGGGTGGCAGCGGTGGGATATAGGAATTGAAATGACTGTGCAAACTATCTCTATTCATCTCACAGTGCTAAACACATACAATAAAATGTCCCATTTGTAATACATGAAGATGGAGTCATTGTACAAAGAAAGCCTCTGACAAGATATTACAATATTCTTGTTAGTAAAGTATCTTAATATAATTATGCAAATCAATTTCCTATTAGATGGCGACAGTGGTCATCATATTGTAAAACCTGTAACTTTCGGGCACACAAAGTTTTGTGAATTTTGCAAGTGGTTTGCATAACATAACCACCTTGAAATTTTCCAATATGCAAATGATTATTGCTACACAATGTGCAGTCATTAGGTGCAGTTATTATCGGTTTACAAATGTTCCTGATATATTATCACTCCCCTAATGTTTCATTAACAATGTATAATCTTCTAGCCATATAAAGTATTCACTTTTGAGCTGCATGTACAGCAGATCCTTGCTCTTCAACGATGTGGTACAGTACATACCAAGCAAATGTTGGTTAAGATCTACCGGGTAAATATCTTTCATGTCACAGGTCAGCGATCAACGAGCAGAGCGGAGTCATGACCCAGGCATCTGGCATTGTAACAGGGACGCTGGTCATCGTCTCTCTTGCCTTCCTCACTCCAGTATTCTACTACATCCCCAAAGCCTCCCTAGCAGCTGTCATTATCTATGCAGTCCTCTTCATGATCGACTACCACATCGTTGTCAAGCTATGGAGGGTCAGGAGTAAGGGATTTTTACATATTTTTTTTTATTAAAGGGTTAATCATCATATATCTAGAGACTAGACATTCTAGCAATCCTTAAGATGGAATACACATTTACTTGATTTCTTAGATTTCGGACCATAAAATGCACGACGTCCTCACTATTGAAATCAAAATTGGAATGATGTGGCAGTCATTCTTTAAAACACCAAAGTGAGATATTCCACTAGCTGCCAGGAGTAATTTTTCTTGTTTATTGAAGCTGTGTAACAACTTCTTTTAAGAACTTCTTAAAACACCCTAATCAACAAATACCAGCAATGTATACATGTTTAAGGCAACATAATGTAGCAAGAGACAAGGACAATTTGGCCCCTGGCACAGGATAATAAAAACACAATGAACCAAACCTATTTGAATAGAAATCCTACCATATCGATATTAATGATATTGTTTTACTGTATTATCATCATCATAATTATCATCGTTGTCATTAAATCAATTTGGTGGTACTTGCAGAACCTGACCTCATCACCTTGGCGATGACCTTCTTCGTATCACTCTGGTTGGGAGTAGAGTATGGTACTATCATCGGTATTCTGGTTGACCTCCTTATGCTGCTATATCCCTACGGAAAACCAGGTTTAACGGTAAATTCCGAAGTAAAAAGCTAGGATTTTTTTTGTGTGTGTCATTTTCAAATTATAAGAATTAATAAGTCATCTGAAAAGTTTTTTTTTTGTGTGTACAAAACAAACTTTACAGGACATATATTTTATCTGTTGTATGCTTTCAGGAAGAAAAAAAAACGATGCTATTCTGCTATTGAACCCCTGGACAAGCTTTGGTGCTTGGCTTTCGCATGAAAAAGGACCTCATAATGAGAGTATCCGTGTCTAGGAATATATGCATAATGAACTGTGAGATGGTGGATTAGAGAATCTGGTGACAATTATTCCTTTCACAGAGAGGGGGTGACAACTGTTAGATTAAATAGGTTATTTCACATGGTCCTAAGAAACTACTGAAGAGTCAGTGTAGTTGGTAATCAAGTACCAAATTAAATATTTTTATGTCGAAACTGTATATTCGAAGTGCTGGTGTGGCTTTCTGTCACAATATGTGAATGACAGTTTATTTCATTGATTTCATATATTTCTCTTCTGCCCACCCCCTTTCCAGTCTAAAGAGGTGGATCAGAGCGTTGTGATTATACAGATGGAGAGGGGTCTGAGGTTCCCTGCAGTAAGTGAGCTACAGAACCTCCTGGATGACAAAGCCCTCATCCAAGAGAAACCTCCCTCAGCCATCTTAGATTTCTCAAATGTTTCATCTATGGATTACTCGGTTATTGAGGTAAGCGAAAGCATTACATCCATCATAAGGATTTCAAGCACATGAAATATCAGATGGATAATCAAAATATCTATTTTTCCTCCAAATGTTTTAAAAAAGCATTTTTTGTTCTTCTGCTACAGAACCAGCAGTTCAACTTATTGACCCCGTCTTATATTCAGTGTTCTTTTGCACATGTTTGAAAATAGGTTATTGTACTTCAGCAAGCGGGGCAGAATTCCAACCTGTTCACTCAGTCTCGTTCAATCATTTTTCCAGTGATTCCTTTCAAATTAGACCTCGTGACAATTTTTTTTTTTAAATGGTGCTCACTAAATGTATAGCAAATACTGACTGAAGAATGCAACAGTCCTTAAAGGGATCGTTTAACAATGTTAAATCTGAGATATACGGCCCTACGCGCTATCAGTGTTTGTGATATGGTGTAATATTCAAGCCCTACAAAAATTGCGCTTCAAAATGATCAAGTACTGTCTCAAAAAAGTAAAAAAATATTTGAGAGACCGGTTTTACCATTATACTCGTTTTCCCCAATAGACTGTCAGTTATGAAAACCGTTTAGTAAACGGTTTTCAAAATTTGTAATTTCAATCATGAATATCTTGATAATCAGACAGGCGATCGGCTTGTAAAAGTCATAGGGTTCCTGACTGACCTAAAGGTTTATAATTATCATTGCAGCATGAGCTAAATCCAGAATTTTGTTTCAGAATCTGAGATAAAATTACCGGATCCTTTTAAGGCTCTGGAGGGCCCACGGGTGCAGAGTTTAAACTAAAAAAATCTTCTCGCTCAGTCGTTACGCTCCCTCGCATAATTTCCTTCAAAGTATACAAGTGTATATAGTGGGAAATCTCCCATTTCGTCCCCCCGGTCATGAAAAGAAATCGCCGCCCCCTGATGATACCAGTCTACTCCGTTGTGTGCATTTACAATATTTACCTTTGTTTAGTCTGCCTCTACTTCACAATTCATCCTCTTTCTTTTCATGTTGTTCCAGGGTCTGAAAGACATCTTCAAATCGTTTTCGAAGAAAAACAGCACTCTAGTATTAGCAGGTGTGAGGGTATGTATTAGTGATGCTGGAGAATTGAAATGTATTCTTTTGTTTTTATTCCATTTATTTTCTTTAACTTATGAGTTTCTCTCAGGATGAAATAATCTCCGTAATGGGTACTAAGATCATATTTATTTTGAAAAAGCTAAAGGGGACATTTAAAGGAAATGTTTGATGCAATCGTGACGATGGTGGATGCTTGCTGGGGCTTCAGTAAGCAGGACCAGAGCAGACTCCCAACGTATCCGGAATAAGGCTGCTCAGCTATTCTGTCAAAAGCCGAAACGGTACCATGCTACCCCAATGTTACACGAACTACACTAGCTTCCAGTTAAAAGGGAATACAATACCAGATACTTATTCAAACTTTTACATTTAAGTCAGCCAAACTTTTTTTATACATGTCCTCACTCCTTTAGCAACATAGAACAACATATAGTATTCACTTTGATCTACACCAGCTCCTTCCTTTCTCATTCCCAAATCCTGAAAACGGGCTGGCTTTAAATCCTTGTAATCCTTTTCCCCACGCCTATGGAACATTCATGCCCTGCCTTTCTGAGAAAAAATTATTCAATAATATTGAGTTCTTAAAAACCGTCTGAAAACATACCTCTACCATTCTTAATTTGTCCTTAGACTAAGGGACAGTGCCTTGTATCCTCTGGAACAGGTGCTATATAAATTCAGCTTTTATTTTTATTTTTTATTATCATTCTTATTATTATCATTATCATAATGTATACAGTAGGCTTATGGTTACACCAAATGAGAGAGGGGTGAGGATTAGGGAGTCCTCAAAAGGAATGTCGGTAATCTTTCTTTCTTGAGTATGTGTAGTACGGTCCTGAAAAGGACTGTTGGTCATCTTTCTTGAACGTATAGTTCTCTATAGTTATTATTGTTATTTTGTTTTAATTATTATTATTATTATTATTATTATTATTATTGTTGTTGTTGTTGTTGTTGCTGTTATTGTTGTTGTTGTTGGTGTTTTTATTATCATTATTGTTTTTATTTACTTCTACAGCCCAGCATGAGAACTCTCATTGACAAAGCCAAGATCAAGGATGTGGTCATCTACGATACCGTCGATGATGCCCTGGAGGGGGTGGACGAAGCCCTGCAGAAGATTTTCATAGATGATGATCCTAATCAAAATCATCAGGTTGTCCAGCTTACCAATTTGACGGCTGGTCCCAGTAATAGATTGAGTAGGGTCATCGAGGTGGATGTGGAGGAGGAGGAGGAGGAAGAGATTGGTAAGAAGGAAGCAGGTAGTTTTCCTGCTGTTCACCTTTTTCATATTTACAAATCTTTCCCAAGTTTTCCTTTCAATTTATTTCTGTTACTATAAGTTTGAGAAAATGTCTCCCAGTTTTAGATTATTTCAATAGGGAAGAGCTATGTTCTCAAGAATATCTTAAATTATTCTATGGTGTGTACTGTTACAGTTTTATGAAAGCAATTTGAAGGGGTAAAACTATATAGGGAAGTGGTTCATTTTAAAAGATGTCTCGCATTGGTCTGTGAAGGTAATAAAGGGTTTAAACTATTTAGGGAAGAGGAATATTTTCAAGAATATCCCAATTTAGTCTAAAGTGTCGATTGTGCAAAATTAATGATAACAATTTATAAAGTTTTAACTTTTTAGGGAAGAGGTTTGTTTTTAAGAATGTCTTGATTTGGTCAATGAAAGTTTTCACTTATTCGATGAAAGCAATTCAAACAATTTGAACTATTCATGGGAAAGTTCTGATTTCTGAAATGTCTTTAATTGGTTTGTGGCATTTCATGAATTGATGAACCAAGGGATATTGTTTTCTTTCCATCTTGCACAAATACCCCAACATTTATCAAATTTGAAGTCATAGGATGAATAATAGATACATAATGAGAGATGACGGTGGCGGCTATCTAGTTACATACAACCAATCATTCATAAAATGTACTCACACCGCCTTTATATCTTTCTTTCTCTCTCTCTCTCTCTCTCTCTCTCTCTCTTTCCATCTCTTTTCCCTTCGTCTCTCTCTCTTTCTTTCTCTCTCTCTTGCTCTACCTCTCTTTTGTCCCCTTCCCAATCAATTTCCATTCACCATTCTTATTTCTTCCTGCATTCCTCTATCTTCACCATCTCCTTACTTCATCTCACAATTTATCCCATCTTTAACAGTGCCTCCATTAAAATTGATGATCTGTATTGCTTTCTTCCAATCTTGCACAGATACTGCAAACATGGACCAGCAAGATGCGACTCGTCGGGATGAAAGCAACCAAGAGGCGACCATCCAAGATAAGACCGGTCAAGATTCTAGGCATCAAGAGGGCAGTCACAAAGATGGAAGCCATCCAGATGACAGTGGTCGAGAAGAGAATGTCCAAGTATCTGAGCTATGATGTACATGTAAAGCAGCACATTGGGATAAGTCACAAAGTGTGTTCAACTCAATTGCTCCTTATATGGCTCTGAGCCGGTATTGAATTTGATACGTATCTCAGAAATATGGGTATTCTACTCAGTTTTCAACTTAAAGGTACTATGTCCCTTTTGCAGCCAACCTCAAATGCTGTAGAACTTTGCAGGAATTATGAATATGTCATGTATGTCCTATCTGTGAAATTTAAACGTTACCAGTGTCCTCATATTCAAATTATGCAAGGAAAACCGTTTACTTGCTAGACTTCACTGTCAGACACTATTGAGTGACCGACTGGCTTTTTTCTTCTTTGGTAATAACATACATGAAAAGAGTTTTAAAGGGTACTTGAGTATTTGTCTACATCAATAACCCACTTCTTGTGATGGCCAAGATTAAACTGATTGAATCTTTGGGCAGCATAAAACATATGACCATTCGGTACAATTGTCTGAAAATCAAGACTATTACTTTTGGGCTCTATAGCCCTAAAGTCTATTTGACAACTAATAGTCGGTATTTTCCCACTTGAAGACATTTTCAAGCCCCACCTTTTTGGGGGAAGTTCTAAATTAGTATTATCTTTCAAATGCAGTTGGAATTTAACTTTTTCATTTTTTGGGCCTGCAAATGGGACATAGTACCTTTAAACAAGCCAACTTCAGTATTCACTTGAAACTTTTGGCAAAGTGTTTTTACCCTAAGCTAAGCTGACTTGATCTCATGTGAAGAAGACTAGAAGCCATTTTACTTAGGTAAGCTAAATGCTAAGTAAAATTCTGACTTAATCCACATACTGAATTAAATCAATGAATATTAGAGGGCAATCTCATCCTGATACAGTATTAAATTGGTTTTAACTCATTGCCTATATGGGAACCATGTGGTTATTGTAAAACAGCCTATGGGAATGAGAAAATTTCGGTATACATTGGTCAATGTTGATAGAAAATGACAGAAAAACTACATCAGTTAAAGTTTGGGGGTATCTAATAAAAAGTATTTTAAAAAAGACAAATTAATCCAGGCAGTTTGTATCGTAATCCACTTTATTTTGATCAAAAGAATTTGTTATACATCGTTTTATACATAAATTGTTTTGTATAGATTGCAAACGTTCATGTGTGTATTGTATGTTCTCCTTCAAAAAGGATTTAACTGTCTGATCTTCTGAATGATTTATAATGTTATATTTTGTCATTGAGAATTTTATAATAATGTTGACATCTGATGATTCGGTGCAATTCTGTATTATATAATGTATTTCCAAATGACATGTGTGTGAGCTATATCTAATTGCCTGACTATATACAATATGCCAATTGATTTTAATTGCAGGGATAATGAAAATTCTTTCATGGAGAGCAGATGTTATGGCATATGCATATGCATGATTTATTGAATAAAGAACAGATATATATTTTTTGTGTTTATTATAAGTTGTGGTTGGTAATTTTAATTCAGACAATGGTGCGCTTAGAAACACCCGTATTAAGCGCCTGATAAATGTTATGTATTATTATTATACTACACAATGCGAGATATCACATTATGTTCAGATTTTATTAGAAATAGCAATATAATCAAATACACATGTAAACGATTATGACGATTTTCATTAGGATGGTTGTAATAATGGTTTGAAAGTTCTCGTATGATATCACAGTTTCGATGTCTAGAGTTTAGACATCTTCCTCAGACGCGAATTAGCAGACTGAAGTAAGCTGCCAATTTTGCTATCGCAAGTGGTTGTTGTTTTGGCGATTACTGCATATCATCATTATAATGATATCAGCTGTCTGACATAAACGATGTAAAGATGTAAGCTAGCTTCAGCCTGCCTGTTCGCATCTGAGAAAGATGTCGGAACTCTGGACATCAAAACTGTTACAGGTTAGTTTTCCTCTTGGATGTAATACCACAACTTTCAAACTACATGTAGGCCTAGACAAAGTCTGCCTGATTTAATTTCGGGGAATGTTCATATCACTAGTGAATGAGAGTTAATGAGCAACCCACTAAGAATCAAGCAATTCTGCTTCTATTACTTTCTTTTATCATAATTGTAATTTATTAAAATAGTATAATTGTAATTTATTAAAAAGGGACATTCATAGCCCGTTTGTAAATTGTTGCCCAGAGGTCGTATTTTGAGATTTATTAGATCTCAGTGACATAAACACCCTTCAGATCTTTCTTAAATAAGCATGAGCACCATTTAAGCAAGAATTAATGATGCCACAAGTAGTAAGAAATGTTAGATTTCACTTTTATCATGCCATTAGAAATGGAGTGAACTTAAGAGATGTTGTCAATAGACAACAGGAAGGTGTTCGTGACTTGTGTTTTGCTGACATTTATTATGAAATATACAACAGAAAAGATTTTGAATGCTGCTGTACATTCGAATATTAAAGTCAGAACCAAAAATGGCTATAGAAATATTTCAAGGCTGTTCAACAAACGTAGTTGAAATTCCATAATATGGAATATCTTACTTTTGGAAGATGGCTGTATTCCTGCAATCATTTAGACGTAGTTTTCCTTGTACGTGTATATCCTACCTAGTGGTGGTATTAGAATACGACGTTCAGATTAAGCCACTGTCACATGCTCATTTATTATCAGGTAAAATAGACATGACTTGTATGCCATATTCAAATTTCTCAATAATGCCCTTGCATATAATTATGACAGATCATGTGCGTAGGGAGGCTCCATTCTCTAAGTGTATTAAGTGTATGTAGACTGCAGGAGTACGTCTTATGAAAGGTTTGTTAGATAGTTTAGAAGAGTAATGTTTTGAGGCATATATTTCAGAATATAGATCCTTGTATTTCAGTGCAGTTAAAAAATAATAATCTGATATGCAATCTATAATGTCTTCCATATTGAAGAACTATCTATATTGACATCACATTGAATTAACAGTACTTTGTTTATCATTTGATAAATTTACAGTTGTCTGTATATTATTGGAGGAATGTGCAGTAATTTGTATATTTTTGTCTTTTAAAACGAATATAAAGTGATAATTGAGAAATGATATCGTTATGTTCTAAAGTTTTGTGTGACTTGTACATGTATTAGAATATACGGATGTAAGTACGAAAATTGAAGAGAGTAAGGTGGTATTATTTTTCTTTGTAAATAGTGTGTTGTTCTGATTGGGAGTAGATGAAATATAAAGAAAAATACATGTAAGACGTGTGAGAATCCGGCTGTGAATCTTACGCAGAACTGCATTCAGCTAATCGTACACCTATTACAGTCTGTAAGACTTGGGACCTGCTTTAAAGATGGCTCAGTGGTAGAGCAGTGGATTTGTACCCGGGAGGTCCCGGGTTCGAAACCAAGCCGATGCACTTGTTTCCTTTGGTAATTATAAGGAATTAATCTTGTCCTTACCTCTCTCTTTATGTCTCACTCTCTCTTTCTCTCTCTCTCTCCACTCCCCTGCCTCCCTTTTGCGGTCTTCACTTACATCACACTAGATTCTTTTGAACCATCACCTATACACCTAATATTGTACTACTACGTGTACTAATTTAATGGTAGACTCACATGTGCTCCTTGGTACTATACTCCTGAATAATTTACAATTGCATACTGTTTACTTGCATTAGTGTATTTTTTATCATGTAAATACTTTTGTAAAACAAACTGTACAATATTCAGTCCGTGGGCTGCGATTTGCTGCGATGAATATTTTTGAATAAATAAACCATTATTAAAATCTTGGTAAACCAGTCAATTTCAACGTAGTGAAGTGCCGATACAGAGGCGGTGTCACAGGCGATAATTTCGTTTAAGTTCAATTCTCCGGATATGTAATATACACACAAACGAAACCATTTTTAATTAGCATAAAAATATATGACGCTTTTCAAAATAAAACGATCAATTCACCTTTTTTTTTCTTTCATTCTCTCAATCGTGTTTTTTCATCTTCAGAAATACAACAAAATGAGCAGAAAGAAAATCTGAGTGAGTCTTTGAAAAGTCTATGCGCAGAGATTTTCGCCCGTGTACATGTATGTGACAGGCGGATAAGACTTTGACACAGGTGTAATTTTCAGCATATTTCCACATTTGAGGAAAAATTCCTAGCTGAAAAGCTGAATTTAGCATGTTTCCCAATGGTGTGCTTAATTAACTCGACAGCAAACTCACGAATAATACGAATTGGTAAATCATAGGAGAACTTGTTTTTTGGTAGCTTGAGTTTACATAATAATTTATATATTTCATATAAAGCTTAAACCATATACGACACTTTTCAATAAGACAGCATTTTCTCTCAATTTTGTTTGTTCTTCTTATACGTTGTAATTAAACCCTGTATCCGGAAGTCATTTATCCTTTTCTCATTTTCTGGTCTGCAGGCTATGAAGAGAACGCGTCCACAACGAGAAGTCGCAATTATCGACGATGAATTGTGAAGGACGATAACGTGCCGAAAAACTTTTGGCCATTAACAAGGGTCGTTGAGATCGTTCCTTCCGTTGGCGGAATTGTTCGCAAGGTGAAGCTAGCTAGCAGTTAGCAAGGCCAGGATCGGTGACAGCGTCTTTACGAAACAACGATAATGGAGCAATGAAGAGCCAAGTTTGGAAGCTTTGTGAAAGGCTACACAATATTGTAAAGTCAATTAATAAAGCAACTTCCTGTAACAAGCTGCATATCATTTAACCTAGCCATTGTTCGAAGGATGCTACAGTAAAAAATCATTGCTGCCCTGTTCCATGAGAGAAAAACTACAAGTTTGCCATGATGCAACAAGAAATCATAGACTGGCTCTCTGGCATATCGAATTGGTGCCATCTTTCCACATCCAAATCGATTACCACAAGGTGGCGCTATACAATTACATCGAAATTATTTAAATTATTAAAGGTAAAGACCAGTTTTGGAAATGCCCCCCCCCCCCCCTCTCAAAAAATGAAATGGAAGCTCTTATTATACCAATCATGTGAAAGAATATGTTTTGACTTATACGTGATGACTGGATAGGTATAGCGTAGTCCCATTTTTTCTGTGTACAGTGCTTGTAACTTTACGAAGACTGGGCCAAATTTCTTATCATTAATTTTGATGATTCCAGAACCCTGCAGTACACCCCAATACTTATATGCTAGATGATC